GGCCCGGGGAGGCTGGGCGTTGGGTAGGAGGCACCGACTGACCTTCCAGGGCTGCCGTGGAGAGGCGGGGAGGGCGGCGGCACAGGGTCTGGCCCCTCCGCGCGCCTCCTGCCCGTTCTCCCCGCGCCCGGCGCTCCAGCCCCCAGCCCCGGGCCCTCGCTGCTCCCCGCTCCACGGCCGCTGGACGCCGCGCGCGGTCCAGCGGGCCAGGTAGGAGGGAGGCGGCGCCGTGGCAGAGGGGCCGCCGGCGCCCCGCCGCCCTCCTGCGCTGTGCCCGAAGATGTCGGGAGCTATCTTTGCGCCCCTGGAGGGCCCGGGCGCCCTGGACGCGGCGAGCGGCCCCCCGCTCGTGTGCCCGCTGTGCCGCGCGCAGTACGAGCACCCCTGCCTGCTGGACTGCTTCCACGACTTCTGCGCCGGCTGCCTGCGCGGCCGCACCGCCGACGGCCGCCTCGCCTGCCCGCTGTGCCAGTGAGTGCCTCGAGCCCCGGAAGACGGGAGACTGGCCCCGCTGGGCTGGGACCTAGGTGCTGGGAGGGCAAGGCTCTGACTCCCTGTGGAGACGGCTGGGAGAGGCTGCCCGCAGCTGCACCCCTCTGCCAGAGAACGTGAAGGCTCCAGCCCATTTTACAGATGGGGTAACTGAGACCTGGGGTTATGGCCCAAGGCCTCCCACAGAAAGTCAGGGGGCGAGGGCGGGCTAGAGTGCACGTGCTGTCGGATTCAATGGTGCTGGAGTAGGGGATCTCAGCTCAGCGTCTGGACACTCCCAGTAACTCACTTGGGGGTCCTGAAGTCTTCAGTCAACACAAGCAGGTTATGTTGGCTCAAGTAACCCGGGGTGTCCCTAAATTTGCCCAATGCCATGAGAGGGGGTTGAGGGGAGCCTTCTGTCTTTGACACCCTGAGTCGCCAACTCCATCCCAAGATTCCCCTAGGACTGGAAAGGGACGGGGTCAGAGAGCACTGGCTGAGATATTTATAGACATCAGACCTGCAGGCATCCCACCTCCCGCCGCCCTATTTTTAGTTCCAGCCTGGAATGTCTGGAGTAGGAAGGGGGTAGGGAGCCTTAGGGAAGGGGCCTCTGGATCTTGGCTGGAGCTTCTCCGCAGACACCAGACGGTGGTGAAGGGCCCCAGCGGGCTGCCTCCGGTGGATCGGCTGTTGCAGTTCCTGGTGGACAGCTCAGGGGATGGTATGGAGGTGGTGCGCTGTGCCAACTGCGACCAGGAGTGCGGCAAGCAGGCAGGGGCGCCTGGGGGTGGGGTGGGGAGCTGAGGGTGCCAGGCTGCACTGTCCTGACGCTTGCAGTGTGCGCCATGTCATCAGAGGATCACCCGTCAGGGCATTCTCCAACGCCTCTCTAAGGCACCCTGTATCCAGAATGTGGGCCCCATTTTACTGGTGTGGAGACTGAGGTCCAAAACAACTGCCTTGGGCCAACACCAAGACAGTTGCAGGGGTTAAGGCTATTTCGATCTGGGGGGAGCTTACTGGTCCCCGACTCAGAACACAGTTGTGAATTGGAACAGGAAGGGCATGCCAGGGCACAGGCCTAGGCCAGCCCTCTGGGGTCCGCTGCTACCTGGGTAGCTGTGAGCAGCTATCAACAGCCCAAGGGGAAGTGAGGACATTGTGCCGTTGGGGAGGGGCGATCCTGAAAGACCAGGGAGCAGAGGCCAGGCTTCAGGCTGGACTATGAAGGGCACGCGAGACTCTCTCTGGCCTGTGGAGGCTGGACCAGGTATTCCAAATCCCAGGAGGATGTCCCTGCAGGAGCAAAAGGTCTGGTGGGGGGGGGGCAAGTTCTAGAATATGTGCTACACAGAAGTACAGACATAACCAGCAGGAGGTGAGGGGCTGGAGGTCGGGAGAGCGTGGGGAGGAAATGGCCTTGAGCGCCAACGTAGGAAGTTGGGGGTCTGTGCTTTCATAGCCATTGCTGGGGTCAGTGCCCTGGACTCTCAGTCCTGGGGAAGGGCACCTGCGGGTCTTCACTCCTTTTCGCCTCCCAGCCAAGTTCCCAGTCCAGATGGCCGGCGTAGGCATCCATGTGGCTACTATTGAGGGTGCCAAGGGGGGGGCTTCACACGCACACAGGCGTACACATACGTTTTTGTTATAGGTGAAATGTTTTGCAAATGCAGTGCCTGCCCTCCCCACAGCCCCATGTAACCCCCTCCGCAAGACCGTCCTGGGTAACTGCCCCTTACTGGACCTACTTACCTACTCTCTGAGCCTCAATATTCTCGTCTGTAAACTGGGTACATGAGAGCGCTGCGCATTGGGGTTACATGAAAGGGCTGCATGTGACCGCGCGCCTGCCCCAGGCCGGGGCCAAGACGCACAGCCACGACGTGCGGAGGCTGCAGTTCCCTCGCGGGCTGTGATGGGATCAGGCTCCCAGTTCACGGGCGGATTGAGCCCGAGCTCTGTCCGCAGGACGCAGAGACCACGTACTTCTGCAACACGTGCGGGCAGCCGCTGTGCGCGCGCTGCCGCGATGAGACGCACCGGGCACGCATGTTCGCGCGCCACGACATCGTGGCCTTGGGCCAGCGCAGCCGCGACGTGCTCCAGAAGTGCAGTGAGTGCGGCGTGCCGGATGGGGACCAGCGCTGCGCGGGGATGGGGGCGGGCACCGGCCGGAGCCCTCACCGCCGCACCCCCGGCAGCCTCCAGTCCTATGTGACATAGGTTTTACAGGTGGTGACCCTGGAGCTCACCGAGGGGAGGGACATGCCTAGGTTACCTGTCGAGCTGGTGGCTCCATCCCTGTGATAAGAAGCAAGCCTGAATTGTAGCTGGAAGGATTTGCATGTTTCTGGCTGTGTGGTCAGAGACACACAGGTGAACTGTACAGGTATTTGAGGATGGGGCCCCCCCCGCCCCCCCCCCCCCCCCCCCTCCGCCGCAGCACTGCACGCCGAGCCCTACATCATGTTCTCCACCGACAAGAAGTCGCTGCTGTGCATCCGCTGCTTCCGGGACATGCAGGGGTGGGTAGAGGGCGCGGGAGGTGAGGGGGCTGGAGGGCGGCCCGGAGCAGGGCTCATCCGCGGGCTCCCCGTAGGGAGAGCCGGGCTCACTGCGTGGACCTCGAGTCGGCGTACGTGCAAGGCTGCGAGCGGCTGCAGCAGGCGATGCTGGTGAGCGCGGGGTGCCCGGCGCGCCGGGGCGGGGGTCGGGAACGCGCGCCCACAAGGCTGAGGCCGCCCTGTCCTCAGGCGGTGAAGGCCCTGCAGACCGCCACACGGGAGGCCATCGCACTGCTGCAGGCGATGGTGGACGAGGTGCGACGCAGCGCGGCGGATGAGGAGGCCGCCATCCACGCCCTCTTCGGCAGCATGCAGGTGAGGGGTAGGGGGGACTAGACAGCCACGGGCTGAGCATCCTTATCAGCCATGATCGGTGCCCGGGACACAGGGCAGGCCCCTTCCCCCGGGGGCCCGTGTGTTGTTTCCAGTGTAGCAGGGCAGCAAGCCTTGAGCTACTTTCAGCAGTTACTTAATCAATCGTAGTTGCCAGGAGAGTTCCAGGGGTGGAGCACGGGCCTGCCCCAGGCTGGCGCTGGTGATGAGAGCGGGTCAGGGAAGACTTCCCCCAGGAGGCGACATTTAAGGTGACGGCACCAGGGCTCTCAGGCAGTGAGATGCAAGAAGGAGGTGGCTCGGGCAGCAGGGCTGCTGGGCTGCAGAGAGCCAGCCTAAGCAGCTGTGTGGCTGGGGCCCAGGGGACTGGGAGAGTGCTGGGAGGTGGCAGGGCCGAGTCTGCCCAGTCAGTAGCACACCTTCCCTCCCAGGACAAACTGGCAGAGAGGAAAGCACTGCTGCTGCAGGCTGTGCAGAGGTGAGTGGTGACGGGCTCTCCATCCCCTGCCCCTTGACCTCCAGACACCTATCTCATAGCCTGGGCAGGCGCCGGCCCACCCTGGAGAGCAAGACATCCAGGTGTCTACCGGTGAGGAGGAAAGCGCAGGGCTCAGGGAAGGGTTGTCAAGGAAGGATGCACAAAGCTGGTGGGGAGACAGAACCACCCAGCTCTGAGCCCGCCCCCAGGTGGGGGTGGGCAGCCCTCCCCTTGGAGATGAGGCTGCCTGCTCCTCCCCCAGCCAGTATGAAGAAAAGGACAAGGCCTTCAAGGAGCAGCTCTCCCATTTGGCTACTCTGCTGCCCACCCTGCAGGTAAGGGGAGCTGGGGGGCGCAGGGCCGGGCACCCAGCCCAGGCACTGAGCAGTGTCCCTCTCACAGGTCCACCTGGCCATCTGCTCTTCCTTCCTCAGCTTGGCCAACAAGGCTGAGTTCCTGGACCTGGGCTATGTGAGTGCCCACAGCTTCTGTGTCTCCCCCCCCCCCCC